TAGAATAATGAAAGCTAACGATGCTAATTTTAAAATTAGTGCTATTACATGACAAGCCATGAGAATAAAGGATTATTTCCCCCTATAAAGGAATGGATTAAGCTGCAGCTATCCCTCTAGTGACGTCACGTTTAGCCACACCCACCGACAGGAAGTAACCTGGCAGAAAGGAAAAATGGGCATTTTTGAAGGCTCATATCTCAGTGAATAATTTTTTTTCAGACAATGGGAGTTGGAACACATCATTAGTATGGTTAGGCAATCATATTAAGCAAATAAAAAAAATATCTCAAAAATGCACTGAAGTTACCCTTTAATCAATAATACTGGCCACCCACATCAGCTTTATCTATGTGACAGGAATCAACTATGAATTTAATTAGAATGGCCCTTGACAACACACTTTAAATAATGCGATGATTACTGCATACCATAAAATTTATGCATCAAGAAATTTTTGTAAATCCTGCAATTCTACGGTTTCATGAAATAAATTTTTGCAAATACATGTAGCTTGCAAACTGCACCACGTGGCAATGGAGCTGCAGAATTTTGCAAATTAATTTTTTTCGATGAAGCAAAAATCACAAAAATTTTTGTCACATAAATTTAATGGTATAGTATATTATGATACTCACTAATATCATCCAGTATAGTTAGTCCCAGTGATACATTAGTACTGATTGTACACAATACATTAGCAAATGTATGTAAACTGTTGGGATCAGTTTGAACAGCTTCTTTGACAGCAGTTAATAGAGCCTCACGTTGATTAGGAATAGAGGGACTAGCTGACACCACTTTACTAACTGCTTCTTGTGTTAACATACGCTCACCATAAAGTAACCGAGCAATAGCAGTACAATCACAAAGACACTGAGACAGGACAGTATGACGATTATTAAAAATTTTAATAAGAACCTGATGTTCTATGACAGAAAATACAATGATTATATATACATGGTAGTTACATGGTTGACTCACTTAACTTCTCAGCTACAGCAGTTTCATTCATAGATCCTAGAGCATCTGACAGTGAGTCCAGGTTGGCTCCTCCTCTACTGTCAACATTATCAGCTCTACGTAGCCAATGGGAAAGACACTCTGTCAAGCATTGATTCACATCACCATGCTGCTCTGTTTTAATGGCTTCCAGTGTATCTTTCAGTAGGCCTAGTCTCAGTCCCAACTCTTGCCACTTTGTTCTTTGAAAGGCACATTTCTTCAACAAGTCAAGAACATCAATCAAGTCTCTGATATCTATCAGTAAAAATCAAAATATAATCTAACATCACATGACTACCTAAACAAGTTTGATTAGTGGCCATAGTTCCATTAAAAGAAGCTACTTTAAGGCTAGGGCCTTAGAACAAGATTAACACTGAACAACAATGACCTTCTCTTTGTTCAGTTTTGACTCAGCCTGCTCTTTACTTTTTTCACTCAGCCTTTCTTCACTTTGACTCCACCTGCCAGGAAGGTGGAGTCAAAAGAGGTGTGGTCATCTATTCATAAAAAGGTGGGGCTGGATCTGCATAGCTAGCTAGCAGCTAGATACTGCCAGCTATACTATAGTCAGTATCACAGTCAAGAGTTATAGCTAAGCATGTCTGATACAGCACACTGGCACTGCACAAAATCAATGAATCGAGCCTGAGTACAGTATCAATACAGTCTGAAGGTATCAAAAACACTAAAATACACCAAAGAAGTGAGTTTATGTTATGTATTAATGTGATGTGAAGTGACGTAGCATTAATGGGTAGCTAATATTTTTAATTTTTATTCTGATTTCCTCTTTATTTGTCTATTTTAAAGGTACAAGATCAACTTAAGAGTTATGATTTTAGTAAACGTGAAAGAATATTCCAAGGAATCAGTTCCATTTACGAGAAACTGAGGAACTCTGAAAGCTACTGGAGACAAACAGAAATTGGTAATCCTTTAATTTATGGAAGTAACTATATACTAGTTAATTATTTTATTATTTATTTAAGTAGTTAATTACCTATTTGTGTTTAATTAATTGTATGACAGCAATTCTCTCTCTCTCTCTCCCCCTTCTCTCTCTCTCCACTCTCCTTTCTTTCTATAACTACTCATTCTAATGTCATATCATAGAGATTGAGAATGAGAAGACGAAAGTTGAAAGTGAAATTAATGAAATGTGTCAAAGTGTCGTCCCATCAAGCAAGACTCCAACAATTGAGTAATAAATACATTTAATTAAGTGCATTCATAGTAATAAAAATTGGGGGATTTTGGGGCCAATGATTATTTTCAAAAAAACAATGGGCTATAGCCTTTGATGCTTTTCAGAATTTTAGCATTTTCTTAAAATGACCATAACTTGAAAAATTGAAGTCTGAATCAGCTCAAACTTTCTACACAGCATAAGTACATCAATATGTATCAGAAAATGTAATAAAAATTTGGGGTGATTTTGGAGCCATTTTTTGGAAAAAACCGTGGGCTATAGCCTTGGGTACTTTTCAGAACTTTGGCATTTTCTTAAAATGGCCGTAACTCGAAAAATTAAAGTTGGAATCAGCTCAAACTTTCTACACAGCATAAGTACATCAATATGTATCAGAAAATATAATAAAAATTTGGGATGATTTCGGAGCCATTTTTTGGAAAAACCGTGGGCTATAGCCTTGGGTACTTTTCCAAATTTTGGCATTTTCTTAAAATGGCCGTAACTTGAAAAATTGAAGCCAGAATCACCTCAAGCTTTCTACACAGCATAAGGACATCAATATGTATTGGAAAATGTATTAAAAAGTGGAGGTCATTTCGGAGCCATTTTTTGGAAAAAAACCATGGGCTATAGCCTTGGGTACTTTTCAGAATTATGGCACTTTTTTAAAATGGCTGTAAATTGAAAAATTGAAGTCGGAATCAGCTCAAACTTTCTACACAGCATAAGGACATCAATGTGTATCAGAAAATATAATAAAAATTTGGGGTGATTTTGGGGCCATTTTTCAGAAAAAACCATGGACTAATGCTCATTATTATTATTTGTTTTATTTTATTTTTTTAAAGAAATGCTCAGGAAACTGTTGAGGAGCTGACAGAGAGTCTAAGAGAAGAGAAACAATTATTAAAGACTTTAATGCAAAAGACTAAAGACAGAGAGTGTATCAAGTAAGTGTATACACACACATCATTATGATCCACTAGTAGCTTTGTATCTTATGATGTGTGGAATTGTAATAATAGCAACTTTAAGATTATTATTTTCAGTCATTTTTGGTCTCACCAGCGATTAGCATAGGCCAAGGATTTTGTACAATGTAGTTACTTTGTTTTTAATTAAATTATTTATTTATTTATTTATTATTTTATTAATATTATAGATATGAGTTTAAACCCTTGTAAAAAATCCCAGCAAGATCTTATAAGGTTTTTCATGATTTCACATGATTATACAAGAAAACATAAGATAGTAATCTTGTAAAATCTTAACACAGAAATTCTTGCAAATTCTTATTTAAGATTTGATAAGATTTGAACAGTTTTGTCAGATCTTGTGAGATCTATCATAACTATAATTCTTGTAAGAATTTTAAAGATCTTATGAATAAAGGAATATGTCAGAAAATGTAAGATCATGCCTCACTTAAATCTTGTAATATCACACCTTTTAAGAACTAAGATGATCTTGTTAAATTGAAATCTAATAAGATCTTACAAAATCTAGTAAGTTTATGATCTTGAAGAATCATCCATGATCACACAACACGACACATAAGATCACTCATTAAGTCATAAATGATCTTGAAAGATCTTACAAATTGCATGACGTCACAGGAAGTGGTAGACAACCCACGATAGCCTTTACGATAATGGCAGTATATAAAGAAAGTAAAATTTGAACATAATTAAGTCAAAAAGTTAATGAAGTTCACATTAACACTTCACATCATTAAGTAAATCATTTATGCAATGTAAGATCTTGCTCAGATCTTACTGTTACATCTATTTTTCATAAGCTGAAACTTCATGTAAGAACTCAGCTAATGTTTTAAAATCTTGATAAAGCAAGATCCCATGATATCTTTCATGTTCTTCGTTTCAAAATCAGGTAAGATCTTGCTGTGATCTTCTAAGAATTTGGTAAGATCTTGAAAAGATCCTGTAAGATCTTGCTTACATTTTGATAGCAAGATCTAACGCTATCTTACATGATCCTTGTTTCAAAATCAGGTAAAATCTTGTGAAATATTAGCAAGAATCTTGTTAAGAATTTTAAAGAAACTTAACAAGAATCTTGCTGGGATTTTTCACAAGGGAACTACAAAAGAAGAGTCTACCAGTTCATTTCAATGAATCCTCAGCAGTTGATACTGTTCAAGGATGTATCCTCTTAACATACCAGTACATGTACATCAATATGTATCAGTAAAACAATGGAGTGATCTCAGAGACAAAATAAAATCCTTTATTTCACCGTGCAGTTGCATACAATACATGTAAACCATATATACCTCACTAAAGTAGATCCACACTATACTACAGTATTACATTGAACTGTATGGTATGATTATATTCTAGCATATTGTACATATACATGTACTTATTTTATTATAAATATTTATTATTATTATTCTCTTATTCCTTAATTCAAAATGGCTGCCAGTTATGAGGAGAGATGATGGAGAGATTGAGTCCTTTTCATTTGATATTAGTAAATGTGATCATGTGGCTATAGCTAACTCACTCTGGGGACTAGCAACTAATGGAGTTAATGAAGAACTACTGACTATACAAAATTAAATTAAAGTCTATTTATAAAATCATTTTAAAATTAGTAATTTTTGCAGGATTGCAAAAAATAAGAATTAATATCACACTTAGAAACTTAACAAATTAAACCAATCCATTTCAGTCAGTCCTATTATCAATGCCAATGCTTTAATTTGCATTCCCTAATCCTCTCCAACCTACAATACAATAAATGGTACAAGTGATGAGGTATTACATTAACTGATAGTACATGTACATGATGATACATGAGGTTTACTGACCTTGCTTCCTCTGCCTCTTGTATTTCTGATCTCTCTTTATCTGTTAACTCTTTCATTCTCTCTCTTCTGTCTCTAAATAATTATAAACAGTAAGAGGTGTATGTAAGTGTGTGTGTATACATAATGTGTGTGTGTGTGTTCAGTAGTACTTGTAATATATGACTTCTCCATCATATAGTGGTAATGGGTATCTGTCTGAAGTGATGGAATACCATTTCAACTTATTCTCAATATCAAGACATGATATCTCAACTGGAAATAATCGACTCTAATAGAATGAGAGAGAGAGAGAGTATCTTTATATGTTTTAATAACTAACCCCTGTACGATAGATATACTCAACAGGAACTCCACTTAACTCTGACAGCTGTAAAACAATAATAATAATAATAATAAAGTGTTACTAATGCATATTCTTTGGTATAATTTCTATTTTTACAAATAATACCTTTCCAATAACATGCTTAGGATCATATCTATTATCCAGTATAATTTCTTCTATTGGATCAACTGAACATTGTGATGGATGCCATCTTATAACATACACCTGTGTCTGTGCTTTATACTTCTTCTTCTCTGGTCCTAATAATATAGTAATTAATATACTAACAATAAAATTATACATCATGTAACGTACAGTATACTGAAAATATACTGAGATATACTGACCTTTCAATGGTTCCACATACATTCCCATACTAGTATCAATCACCTGATGATCAAGATATACTGTATCAGGGTACACTCCCTTCTTGTAACGTAATCTCATTCTACACAATAAGTTGTCACATGATAGTCACATGATAGTCACATGATGTACTTACTTGTCTAATTCAAGGACACAGTCAATTCCTTGTACTTTTGCTTCTTCAATAATTTGTTTCTTAAATTCTCTCACTGGTGTACCCTTAGCAACAATAGACTCCATC